CTTAAACTGTTTCCTCCTTCACTCTTCCTGTGGTCTGGTACTCTAGGAGAACTGGTTTCATACCTAGTGGTCAGGTCATCCTACACCTTCTCTCATCGCTGCTCCCTCCCCCCACCCCAGAAAGAGAGAGAGAGAGAGATTAGTGTATAACACACACACACACACACACACACACCACACACACACACACACACACACACACAGAGGTGTACTCCTCGCTCCACATCATCACGTGTCCTCTTTCTAAACTCTACCATTGCTGCCTCCACTTTCCCTGCACTGCAGCCATATTCAGGGATGGTCATATCCTTGACCTCTCCATCACCCAGAGATACTTTATTTCTGTTATCAAGAGTTCCAATATTCTTTGATCTGATCATCCATTACTCTCCTATTCTGCCAACTTCACTTCTAAGCTATCTCAAGTTTCAGTTTCTTCCCATTCCATTCTTGACTCTATGGGTAACCAGTTCAACTGTGGTCGATAAGAAATAAACAAATGCTGATTTCTGTCCTGCACCTTATTACCAATACCCTTATGCAGTTGAATCATGCTGGAGGCAGTCGTACAGCCATGCTTACTGGGTCCAGGACGAGTTTATGTCATGGAATCTCAACTGGGCCCTCTGAGTCAGAGAAGTCTTTTACTCTTCTCTAATTTAGGAATTCTCCATTGCAGCTATTCAAAGCAGTTTCTTTGCTCCTCAAGCCTCCCACACCACCCTCTGCCCTATCCCTCTCAGCAAGATATTATCTCATATTTTACTGGGGAAATAAAGATCTATCTCAGAGCTCTCTTTCCCCCTTCCTTCTAACTCAGAATCCCTTGGCATCACCCCCTATTCTTTTCTCCTTTGCTCCAGTCTGATGATGACCCTTCTTTTTTTTCCCCCTTCTAAGTAGTATTTTATTTTTTTCCAATTATGTGTAAAGAAAATGTTTAACATTCTTTTTTTTCATAGAATTTTGAGTTCCAAATTGTCTCCCTCCCTCTCCTCTCCTCTTCTCTTCCTAAAATGGTAAACAATTTGATATAGGTTATATATGTGCAATCATGTGAAACATATTTCCATATTAGTCATGTTGTAAAAGAAGAAACACAACAAAAGGTAAAAACTACAAAAGAAAAAAAGTGAAAATAGTATGCTTCAGTCTGCATTCAGACTCCATCAGTTCTTTCTCTAGATAGGGATAGCATTTTCCATCATGAATCTTTTGGAATTGTCTCAGATCATTGTATTGCTGAGAAGAGCTAAGTTATTCATAGCTGATCATCACATAATGTTGCTGTTACTGTGTACAATGTTCTCCTGGTTCTGCTCAGTTCACTCAGCGTCAGTTCATATAAGTCTTTCCAGATTTTTCTGAGAGCACCCTCCTCATCATTTCTTATAGTACAGTACTATTCCATCACATTCATATACCACAACTTGTTCAGTCATTCCCCAGTTGATGGGTATCCCTTCAATTTCTAATTCTTGGCCACCACAAAAAGAGCTGCTATCAATATTTTTGTATGTATGGGTCCTTTTTCCTTTTTATGATCTGTTTGGGATATAGGCCTAGTAGTGGCTTTGCTGGATCAAAGGGTATGCACAGTTTTGTTGCCCTTTGGGCATAGTTCCAAGTCGCTCTCCAAAATGGTTGGATCAATTCACAACTCCACCAACAGTTCATTAGTGTCCCGATTTTCCCACATCTTTAACGAAATTTGTCATTTTCCTTTTCTGTTATATTAGCCAATCTGATAGGTGTGAGGTGGTAAGAGGTGGCCCTTTTGCCAAGGCTAACATCCCTACTTGGGCCCTTGAGTCCCCCTCCCATCTCCTGGCAGCTTACCCTTATATTTGTCCTCCTCCAAATTTTAATATTTCCTTTTTTTTTCCATTTTTTGTTTTGTTTTGCTTTGCTTTTTTGGTGAGGCAATTGGGGTTAAGTGACTCACCCAAGGTCACAACGCTAGTAAGTGTCAAGTGTCTGAGGCCAGATCTGAACTCAGGTCCTCCTGATTCCAGGGCCAGAGCTCTAACTCTCCACTGTGCCGCCTAGTTGCCCAGTATCTCCCTTTCTAATGGTTCTTTACCTGATCTTTACAATTATGCCTAAGTTTCTCCCATTCATAAAAGCACACAAACAAACCTTTCACTTGGCCCTCAAGCTGTCATCCTATAACTCTCCTACCCTTTTCATTCCTAGGGAAAAAACCATCTATCTATATTTATTGCCTCTACTTCCTTTATCTCTCAAACCCTTGAAATCTGTATTCTGACCTCATCCAACTGACCGTTCTACAATTACCAGTGTTCTAAATTGTCAGGATCACTTAGTCTTTCCCCACTCTCCTCCTTCTTGACCTTTCCCACACATCTGACACATGGCCCACCCTCTCTTCCTAGATGTTCTCTCTTCTCTGAATTTTCTTGTCACTTGGTTCTCCTTCTCCCTGTCTGGCCTCTCTACAGGCCCCTTTTTTGGTTTATCATCCAAATAGGACACCGTTAACCATGGGTATCCCCAAAGTCTCTGCCCTGGGTCCTTCTCTCTGTCTCTGTCTCTCTCTCTGTGTCTCTCTCTGTTTCTCTCTCTCCCTCCTTTTTTTCTTGAGGATCTCATGAACTCCCACGGTTCAGTCATAACGTCACCACCACCACCAACAATAATAACTTTATATAATGCTTTATGGTTTGGAAGCACTTTACATCTATTGCCTTATTTGCAGTTATCATCTTTGCACAGATGGCCCTGAGAACCATATGTCCAATCACAGTCTCTCTCTTGAGCTCACACCACTAACTGCCTATTGGACATTTAGAACTAGATGTCTTATCTCAGACTTACTATCTAATACAGAACTCCTTATCCTTACCCACAGGCCCTTCTCTCCTTCTTACTTTGCCATTTTCATCTGTTGAATCCTTACTCTTCCCCACGTGCTCAATCTCAGGGTCATCCTTAATTCTTTGCTTTCCCTAAATCCGATTAGTTGTCAATTTTTGTCCATTCTGCCTCCATGACATCTCTCCCATCTCTCCCTTTCCTTCTCGTGGCCAATAGTGCACTGTGTTCGTGCCATTTTCACCTCTTAGCTGGTCTCTGCCTCTGCGCTCTCCCCTTTCCACGTTCTACACAGATGCCAGATCAATGCTCCTGAAGTACAAAGCTGACCATGTAACCCTGCTGCTCAAGAAGTCCCAGCGGCTTCCTCTTGCCTCTAAGTTCAACTACAGTCTTCTCTCCTGTGGATTCAAGCCCTTCACAATGAGGCTTCAGCCTATCTTTCCAGACTCACTGAAGATGATGATGGTTCCCATATTCCAGCCAAACTGTTGCTTTGATGTTGTTGTTCAGTTGCATCTGACTCTTCATGACCCCATTTGGGGTTTTATTGGCAAAGATACTGAAGTAGTGTGCCATTTGTTTCTCCAGTTCATTTTACAGATGAGGAAAATAAGGCAAACAGGGTTGAGTGACTTGCCCAAGGTCATATAGCTAGTATGTATCTGCTATATTTGAACTCAGAAAAGTGAATCTTCCTGACTCCAGGCTGGGCACCTATCTAGTGAGCACCTAGCTGCCCCTCCAGCCAAACTGACCTCCTTGCTATTTCCCCTATCTGCCTTGTATTTCCTTGTCTTTGTCTACCTAGAATGCACTCCTTCCTTGCCTCTGCCTCACAGGAAGAGTGCTTCATAAATCACATAGATGTGAATGAAAATTATTATTTTTTTGTGCCATTTTTGGTGAGGCAATAAGGGTTAAGTGACTTGCCCAGGGTCACACAGCTAATAAGTGTCAAGTACCTGAGGCTGGACTTGAACTCAGGTACTCCTGACCCCAAGACCAGAGCTCTATCCACCGAGCCACCTAGCTGCCCCTAATGAAAATTATTGTTAGGGGGATAGCAGACCCTGAGAATGCAAAGACAAAAGGGAAAACTAGAACTGGCCCTCAGGGGAGCTTACATTCTGCTGGGGAGGAAGTGGCACTTAAACTGATGAGTAAACACCAGCTAGTCTGCATGGAAAAAACCACCAAGGAGCAAGATCCGAAGAGAACTTCGTTGCAGCCCAGACTAAGTTGCTTCATATGGCACATGGAAGTAATAATGGTAATGATGGTGCCTATCTCCCTGGCAGTGGTGAGAGTGAAATGAGATGATGCAGTCCTTAAAGGAATATGGAAACATACAGCATTGTCCTCCTCCTCCTCCTCATCCTCATTGCTAAGGGAAGCTAGGGATTCTAAAGAGGCTGAGAAGTGAGGAGGGAACACATTCATGAACAGGGCAGGAGAAAGATGGCTAGCCTAGGTAGAAGTCAAGGCAAGAGATTGAATTCACAGGTTCAACATCAGCAGGAGAGCTGATTTTGCTAAACTGTAGAGTGCTGAAGGAGACTGCTAGCCCACACTTTACATATATTGGCTCATTTGAGCCTCCCAATGACCCTATTCTTATTCCCTATTTTAAATATGAGGAAACAAGCCTAGAGATGTTAAATGACTTGTCTAGGGTCACACAGCTGGTAAGTGTCTGAGGCAAGATTGGAACTTAGGTCTTCCTGACTCCAAGGCCAGTGCTTTCTCTCTTGGCCCCATGCTGTCTCTGGGTAAGTCTAGAAAGAGAAGTTGGAGTGAGACTGAGGAGATTTCAGTGCCAAGGTGAGCTGTATGCTGCAATAGAATTCCCTGGATTTCATCCTGGACCAGTGCACAGACAATCTCTGCATGGAGGCCTCCTGAGCCTTCCTCCCAGGGAAGGCCATCCCGATATTTCAGAACTCCAAGGAGGTGATTGGCTCCTCCTGGGTGAAAAGCTACAAGGTCTCACTATATACAAAGACAATTACTGTGTTACCCTGGGCCCAAGTGTCCTTTCCCTCAGAGGCTGCTTCTTTCCAAGGAGATGATACATTGTAATTGTTCCCACTGCTTTTCAGCTGGGCTTCGGAGGAGAATACCCTGCGCCAGTTAACTTCCCTCCCCCTTCCATTGTCCCCCAGGCTGGCCCTCCCCAGAGCGGGGGGAACTTGTTGGATATGATGTACCGGCAGCCCTCGCGGTGGTCCTACACCTTCCAGATGTTTTCCTTCCTGAGTCGGCTGCGAACTCAGCTGGTCCCCTCCCCAGAGAGCCTCTTGCAAGGCCAAAAGCCGGTGCATGTCTTTGAGCGGTCAGTGTACAGTGACAGGTAAGGTGCTGAAACCAGCAGCCCTGGTAGTCCCCTTGGCCCCATGCCTGGAAGGCCTGCCTTCCTTCTCCCGAGGGGGCCATACTCCCACGTTCAGAAATACAATTGACTGAGAATAGATCCTTGCATTTGGAAGACACTTTAAGGTTTGCCAATCTGCCTCACTCAATCTGTGATTATTATGGGAAAACTGAGGCTCTGATGGGTTGTCACTTACCCATGCTGACACAGCTAGTCATTCCAAACCCCGACTCCAACAAAAGCAAAGACAACTCTACGGAGCTTTGGGGATAGAGAGGATTCAGCTTCATGAGATCAGCTTTATAAAGAGTTGATCCATTTCTAGAAAACCCATAGATTCAAAACCAGAAGGGACCTATCCACTCCCTTTACTGGTGAAGAAACTGAGGCCCAGAGGCTGAAGTGACTTGCTGAAGGTGGCAGAGGCCAGAGCCGAATGAACCCTGGACCTCTGCACTCTGGAGTCAGTACTTAACCCTTTGTCCCACCTTGCTCTATTTAACAAACTCAAATGACTCTTAGGTGGCAAGTCAGCAATACTGTGGCCCTACTTTTTCTTCCCAGGGCCTATGTAATACCAGATAATCTCAAAAGTCCCTCCTAGCTAGAATTGACTGAATGGTATAGCATTGTTGACAGTTTCCTTCTTTTCCCCTGTCCTCCAGCCTAGCCCATCCCATTTTCTTTCTTGGCATTGATGTAGTCAAGTGGACTGCTCCCACTGGAGTGGCTACTCTAGGCCAGTCCAAGAGGAAGCCTTTGCTTTAGCGCTTTTAGGTGGGATCTTTTGTCATTAGAAGGCCAGAAGCTGCTCCCAGAATTCCAAGCCTGGCCCCAGGGATCTCAGTCCTTGGCAATGATAGAGCAGCATCAGAATCAGTGGCATTGTTTTCAGCTAAAGACCAAGTCCCTTCTGTCCCTTTACATTGACTCCAATATTTTACCAGCCTCTGGTTTCATCCATATCAGGTCTCTCTCCACAGATGCAGATTGCAACTCCTCTGGCTGAAGAATTCCTTGCCAGCGACCAGCCTGGTCCTGGGAAACTCCAAATTTGGCCAGGCTGGTACAAAGACAGCAGATGTACACGTGGTCTGCCTCCAGGCTGACGGTAACAGAATCTTAGAGCTGGGAGGAGATTTGAGGTCATCCATCCCAAACTCTTCCTTTTATAGATGAACAGACAGACCCAATCAATGAATCAAGAAGCACGTCTTTAAACTTGTGAACTTAAGCCTCCTTCAGCTCTGGATTCTGTAGCAGGAATAATAACAACTGACATTTATAAAGTGCTTTAAGGTTTGCAAAGCACTTTACATATATTATCTCCTTTAAGCTTTATACAAACCCAGTGAGATAGATAGGTACTGTAAGTATTCTCAGGTCCATTTTACGAGGCTTAGAGACATGAAGCTGCTAGCCTTTAGTCACACATCTAGTAGTTTTAGGGACACAATTTGAACCCAGGCCTTTCCAGGACCCCAATAGATCCAGTGGATTCTACCCACTGTCCCATGCTGTCCCCTAGGCACCCAGCCTCATCTATGGGAAGAATCTGTGAAGTCAGCAGCCCTCTCCTGCTGCTGTGGAATGAGCTTCTCTCCCAAGGAAGCAGCAAATCAGCTTTAATGACTTTTCAGGGTCTGTTTGTTGTAACCTGAGAAGGTTGGGCCCTGTCCCTGTTGGCGTGGGCTTCAGTTCACTGGTCTTTTCCAGAGAGTGTCTGGTGTCTAGACTCCCAGGCCTGTTTGGAGACCTTTAAACGTGATTAACAGTGTGGCTGGCCCCCTGCAGGAGACCCTCTGGAAGGGGGAGTCATTGGGCTGAGTCTTGGGTAGCTGCCCTGCAGCCATGGCCTTGGCCTAGGTGGAGGGTGGAGGGAGTGCCCCTCCCTTCCCTGCCTTCCCTTGGGTTTACAAGAGGAAGTGCTTGCCTGACCACAGACCCCTAGGGAGGCAGGCCAAGGATGATTATCTATGTTCTCCAGGTGAGGAAACTGAGGCCCAGAGACGTGTTTATTATTAAACACCTACTGTATACCATACAATGAGCTGGATGCTTGCCATTCAAATACAGTGAGTGGCCCAATCCTTACCCGCAAGGAGCTTCCATTTGAATGGGGGGAGGGGGGCCACAACAGAGGGCATAACAAGTACATATGTAAGGGAAGATATAATAAATAGGATGAGAATAGTTCAGAAAAATAGTGAGGTCATCGGGGAAGGGGGACACTGGTAATTACCCAAGGTCACATAGCTCACAGTCTGAACTTGAACCCAGGTCTCCTGATGACAAACTCTACTGTGACTTTGGAAAACAAAAAAAGGATAATGATACTACAATAGAAATGAATTCCAATTCCCAGCAAAGTCAGTACTGACCCACAGCATTCTAATCAGGGGACCCCCCACATCCCATCTGAGTGTCAGAAAGACCACATGAAAGTTAACAGAAATGAGCGTTAGGCCTCAGCTCAGCTGGGCTTGCTGAGAAAACCAAACAAGGCAGTGATTGGAATCTTCTCACCTTCCCAAAGAGAAAGGCAACCCCAGCTGGGCTCAGACTACTGGGGACTTCTCTCAGATTAGCACCGTCTCCCCTCCCCCAAGCCCATATGCTTTGGAGGAAAGGACTATAGAATCATATAATTGGAGAGCTGAAGGGGCCCAAATATCCCGTTATATACTTATTATGTAATAGAGGGCAGAGATGAAGAAAAAATGTTTTTAAAAATATAACTTAGTTTCATGACGGGTGTGTAAAGCTGTATCTTATTAGTGAGAATCTGCCACTGACCACCTGAGTAGGTCATGTCACTTCCTTGGACCTCAGTTTCCTCGTCTGTAAAATTAGTGGGCAGCTAGGTGGTACAATGGGTAGAGTGCCAGGCCTGGAGTCATGCCTGACTCACGAGTTCAAATATAACCTTAAATGCTAGCTGTGTGACCCTGGGCAAGTCACCTAACCTTGTTGCCTCAGTTTCCTCATCTGTAAAATGAGCCGGAGAAGAATCAGGCATGACTGAAAATGACTAAACATCAACCACACTGATGCGTCTGAGTAGGTGGTCCCTGAGGCTGCTTTTAGTCCCAGTCTGTGATCCTATGGTAATAATTTGAGTCAGACAGTGGAAAGAATAGTGAAGTCAGAGTCAGATGACCCAATTTATTTCCTATGTGACCTTGAACAAGTCTCTTCCTCCTCCTACCCCTGGACTGCAGGGTCCTTGACAGTAAAATGAGATTAGATTGTACAATCTCTAAAGACCCCTTCAGATCTGAATCTATGCTCATTACCCTCTCCTGCCCCCATGCTAGGGCAGGAGTTTTTGCAGAGCTTCCAGGGATTTGCAGTTGGGAATGGCAAGTGAGGGAAAGGGCATGTGAGCCGGTCCACAGGAGAGGGACTTTAAAAAGCATTTGTACTGCAGATTCACTGCCTGGGAAGTCAGCCCATCTGTTCCCACAGAGCTATTCCTCCCAGGCCCCTGAAAGAGAGAGGCGGAAGATTCATGGCCCTGGCACAGAGGCCAGACTCCAAGATGGTTCCAACATGTGGTTAAACAATTTGGAAAGCAGGAGAGGAGAGGAGAGCTGGGCGGATGCAGCCCATCCAGGGGATGTGCTGGCTGCTCTGCTGGGAAACTTCTTGGTCAGCCCTGGGCTTCTGTAAGTTATTAGAAAGGAAAATTGGGGGCCTGGTTTTGGCTGGCTACTCTTTGTGCTGGTAGCTTATTTCCTCTCCTTCTGATGACATGTGCTTGCTCTTCTTTCCAGGCAAGACCCAAATCTCAGGCATTCACTGCTAGAGCACAGGAGGATGCCCAGGAAAGCTTTGAATTTTCTTGGCCTTCGAGGTCGTGCTTGCTTTTTGAAACCCCTCTTGAACTCCATATAGAGACATTCTCTTATTCTTTTCGACTTTGTTCAGGCACTCCCCCACTCTCACTGAGACCCACTTGCCAAAAGACCTCTCTATTGTGTAGGAGAACCAAGGAAAGTCTTTTGCATGCGGCAAGGATTCCCTGGAGAACTCTCAGAATGACCTCGATGGGAATTTTCACCCACGCTGGGAGGGCATTCCCCCATGATGGCTTCCTACCCTGTTAGCCATATTGTAATGCTATTATGCATATATTTTATTCACGAAGACCATTTGGATGTTGTCTCAAACAATGTAGATTGTTGGCTCCTACAGATGCTTTGACACTGTCACTATTATCTGATACTATAGTTTCTACTGCCATAGTGTTACTATGTTAATCTTAGCAGATAAAGTAGTGCAGACACTTTGATAGAGTGTAGCATAGCTGTCTGTGGACACTTTGATGATACAAGGAGGAACCATCCTTGGACGCTCTAGTAGAAACTGTGATAGTCTTGTCAGTTGGATACCTTAGTATGGTTACTCTGATGAAGAGTATAATGGTAGCCAGTAGTATAGATACTTTGCCAGGAAAGGGTTACATTGATGAATTACAAAGGGCTTGACTGTAGGTTCTGATTGAGGTAGACAGTTGGGCTTGCCACGTTGGGGGAGGGGGGGTCTCCCTTTTGGCTCCTCCCCATGCAGGTTACCTTCTCCCTTCTGGTGGTTTCCATGAAGAAAACCTGTGTGAGAGGGTCAGCTTGAAAGGACTAAAGGAGGGGCAGCTAGGTGGCACAGTGGATAGAGCACCGGCCCTGGATTCAGGAAAACCTGAGTTCAAATCTGGCCTCAGACACATAACACTTACTAGCTGTGTGACCCTGAGCAAGTCACTTAACCCCATTGCCTAGCCAAAAAAAAAAAAAAGAAAAGGGAGCATTAAAAAAAGAAAAGGCCTGAAGGAGAACCAGGAGCACGTTAGGATTGCCTCCTTGGCCCTGGCTCTCCCTGGTTCTCCCCAGCTCCTTTGGCCTTGGCCCACCTTAAGCATTTGGCAGACTTTTAAGTGCTTTCTCCCCTGGGCCATAATTCCACCTACTGCCTTCCTCCAAGAAGTAGGAAACATTTCAGATATAGAATCGTGGGGTGTTAGCTTGGAAGGGTGTTTGGATGTCATCTAGTGTTTCCTCTTCCTGGGCGCCCCAAGGCTAGTGGTCTGGGGACCTAAATATTTCTAATGGAGGGAGGGCAAGGGAAGGGCCAGTGGAGAGATGGCTTCTGTACTGAATCTTTAATCCTTATAACATGCTGAGAAAAGGGTCAGTATGACACTCCTTTTGGCTAATAGGGAAACTGAGGCAAGGATATACAGGCTTCCCACAAAGCACCCTGGGAATCTTGGATAATTGAAGGCCTGCCTGATCTGGGGTTAGCCCAAGGTTGACAAATGCAGTGGAGTGTTGCCTTAGGAACTAGAGTCTACAAACAAGCCTCATTGTTTAGGATTTGAATTGCATCTTGTGGCTTGGATGGTTGGGAGGAATTAAGCTTGTATGCAGACCTCGTGAGATAAGCTGATCCTTTCGGAAGCCCTAGTTTCTGTTTGCCAAATGTTGTTTGTTTAGCTGGGATGGGGATCTGGGGGAAAGGGGTGAGTTTTAAATTCAGCCCCTACTTCCTTCAGTTGGGTCTGGAGACATCAGTAAAGTGTTTGGTGAGGAAGAGAGTACACTGGAAACACACATGGTGGGGGACAGGGCAGAGCCAGCCAGTTCCTTTGGCACTGCAGAAACCATGAGGGTGTATTTCCCAGCTCCAAGGACAGCTGGGTCTGGGCCTTTCCCAGCTACTGAGACTCTGAATGTTATTCAAGATGTGGCAGGTGGCAGTTAAGGCGCATTCTCCTACTCCATGTGGAGCTTGAGTTTCCTAGAGAAAAAAAGAGCCCCCGAAAACTCCTGGGCCAGCTTCTCCCCTCCCTCTCCTCCTCAGGCCATCCTCTCTGCTGACACCCAGCATCTGGTTTCCTGCAGGCACTGGGCAGGGGCCAAGGGAGGTCTCTTGAAGACTGAAAATCCCCTCCCACTCAAAAGTTATCTTCCATCCATTCCATAAGCAGGATGTCTCTGGCCTAGTTATGTTTATATTGTCTCCCTCATTAGAATGTAAGATCTTTGCAAGCAGGAACTGGTTTTGCTTAGCCCAGTCACTGGCACAAAGGAATGGAGACTAGACCTGTGATTTCACTAGAATAGAGAACTCCCTGGTGAGGAAAATCCTTCTACCAATGCAGGTTGCCATGCTCCCTGTAACTTATAGTCTTTTTTTAAATGATTTTTATTTTTCAATCAACAAGCATGTTCTTAATCTGTCCCAGAATTCTTCCCCCTTCTCCCACATTGAGCACATTAAATGAAAACAAATTCAACAAATAAAGCCCTCAACACATTTGTTGTTCAGTCATGTGCCACTCTTTGTGACCCCATGTGTGGTTGTCTCAGCAAAGATGTTGGAGTGGTTTTGCCATTTCCTTCTCCAGCTCATGTTGCAGATGAGGAAACTGAGGCAGAGTCAAATGACTTGCCCAGGGTCACATAGCCAGTTAAGTATCTGAGGCCAAATTTGAACTCGAGATGAGTCTTCTTAATTCCAAGCCGGTGCTCCACCCACTGCACCACCTACTCGCAGCTAGTTACACAACTCGTGTACAAAATCCCCATTGGCTTGTAGGCCTACCTCACCACCCAGCGAGATGTGTCAGTCAGTGGGAACTTAACACATAACGGCCCGATGGACAAAGACTGGCAACTGGATCTAAGTTCAAATCCAATCCCAGACATGCCACAGGGGCAAGCCGCCCAACCTCTCTGCCTCAGCTTCCTCAGTATCACTTACAGCCTTAAAGAGTAGGAGAAGCCCTTAATAAATGGTTTTTGAGTAACCAGTCATAGCTGGACACACAACTGGGACAGGATGGGAGCTCAGGTCTTCTTGACACCATGGCCAATGCTCTATCCACTACGTCGCTCTGCTCTCATAGCCTCCGTCTGTCTGCCTGTCTCTCCGTTGAGGTTTAGAGGCTTAGGGGCGCTAGGGCGCCAGAACAGCAAGACGACGGTCCTGCCTGAACAAATTCGACACAAGCCTTCTTTCAGCCAAAGACAAGGTTTATTAAAAATCCACCCTATTGGGCAGGCTGCTAAGGAATCTAAGCATGTGTATCACTAATGCAAATGGGCCAGATTGAATCAGAGTCATTGGCCAGATTTTAAGAATTTGAGCACCTTCACGGTGCCTAAGATGGATGTCATGGACAGGAAGTCTGTGGGAAGGGTATAGGAGTGGTGAAATAGTCTGAGGTGACTGTGACGAGGGGGTCTGGGGAGGATCTGGATGGGAGGGGCCAGTAAACTGAGGTGATTGTGGGGTAACAGAAAGCTGGGGACCCGGACCACATGGCCAAGGGAGAATGGAGTCTAGATAGGATTAAGTGTGGGAAGTGGCCATCCCATCTGGGAGTAACTGAATTGGGAGATAGGACATAGGCCAGGAGGAAAGAGGCCAGTTGAGAGGATTACTGGGATGATGCCTCAGGTGAAGTCTGAGATTTGACCAGGTGGGAAAAGGAGAAAACTCAAGGAGAGTTGGGGGGGGAGGGTCCCCAGGGCCCATAACTGTCATCCCTCTCTCTCTCTCTCTCTCTCTCTCTCTCTCTCTCTCTCTCTCTCTCTCTCTCTCACACACACACACACACACACACACACACACAGGTCACAGCTCCTGATCTCACCATCCCTCCAACCTAGTCCTTTGAGATCCCAAACACTGAAACTCCCAGTCTCAATGTCCATACAACCCTGCTGCTCCCTTCCTCTGGTGAACCTCTTCTTGCCTTCATAATTTGTTTAGGTCCTATTTTCTCAACTGTGGTTCTGTCTAACTTGTCTCCATCTAGTCTTGACCTTATGGTCCACCATTTCAATAATGTCTGCTTTTCTATCCTTGAACCCCTTGCCTCCTAGATGAGCCTGGCTAATTCCTACCACCTCTCTTAATCAACCAATCAGTCAACAAGCATTTATTAAGCACCTACTGTGTGCCAAACACTTTCTTAGGCATTTGACTATAACCTTGAAAATTCCGTGTCTGTCTTCAAGGAGATTACCTCCTCTTGGAGGAAACATGTACAAATATAGATATAGACGGAATAAATTCAAGTTAATTTGGACAGAGACACAACCACCAACCAGGAGCATTAGCGAAGGCCTAATGGAGAACATGGCACTTGATCTGCCTCCTGAAGGAAGGGGGTACATTTTAGATGAGGAAGACTCTGGTCCAGCCAGATTGGATTTGTGGTTCCTCATCACTGCAATTTCCTCTCCCGACTGCAGGCCTTTGCATTGGCCAGCCACCGTGCCTAAAATTCACTCCCTGTGTGCTGAGGCAAGGAGTTGAGAGAAGGAGTAATCATGCATGAAGAATACAATAGACCAGACCATATAGCTGGTGATAAGGTTGGAACGGTATATTGGAATCAGGTTGTAAAGACCTTTACATGCCAAATAGGGGATTATGTTAGAGGGAGTGGTAGGTGCCAATTGAGATGGGGACGTTTGAAAGTCACTGGAGATTCTGGTGACTCGACCTATGATATGTTAGTGTTTTTTAACCCTCACTGAACATTCACTGATACCAGTCGCTTATTTTCTTCACGTCACATAGATAGACTCCATCAATTTCTCTATAACAAACACTGTAGGACAGGGAAGGGAGAGTTAGATTTGGAGGCTTAGAACACTGGTTTAAATCCCTGAGCTATTTACTGTGGGTGTGACCTTAGGCGAGTCACTCTGGCCCTCAGTTTCCTAGGTCATAAAATAAGGAAGTTGGGTTTCCTGACTTCTAAGTCATCTTTCCCCTCTGGATATCTGAATTTTAAAAGATTTTTTCCAATCTTATCTTTTTCAAAAGTCTCCCCACTTTCACTATCTGCAGGTCTTGCCTCTAGCTCTGAATTACCTACTACCCTAAACATCTTAAGTGAAGTCAGTAAGCATTTATTAAGCACCTACCATAACTAGGTTCCAGGCACTGTTCTAAGCTTTGGGGTTACAGAGAAAGGTGCTTTTTTTTTTCTTAAAGGCCCTGTTCTCAAGGCTTATAAAAAGGCTTTTTGCAGAAGGTGGGACATGAAGGAATCTAGGGAAGCAGGGAAATGGAGATGTGGAGGAGAGCATTCCAGGAATGGAGGAGACCTGCTGAAAATGAAATAGAGTTGTGAAGCCACTGTCACTGAATCAGGGAGTGTACATAGGGGAGGAAGGTGTGAGAAGGGTGGGAATGTAAGAAGGGACCACGTTGTGAAGGGCTTTGAATGCCAAACAGAGCATTTTACATTTGATCCTGAGGTCATAGGGAGCTTATTGTATAACATGGTCAGACCTGCACTTTAGGAGGGTCAATTTGACAGCTGAGTGGAGGATGGACTATAGTGGGGACGTACTTGAGGCAGGGAGAGCCCATGGCAGTCATCTGGGTGGTGGGTGATGAGGGCCTGTACCAGGATAGGGGCAGCATCCAAGGAGAGGTCTTTCCCCATCATCTCCTCCTTGATGTTATAGCATAATGTCAGGAAAAGAATACCGACTTTGGAGCCAAGAAGAGCTGGATTTGAATCCTGTCTCATACTCTAAGTTGCTGTCACTTAGCCTTCCTTGCCTCCATTTCTAAATCTGTACTTAGCTTCCCTGACTTCTTTTTAAAATGGATCCTGTCCTCCTTCTGGATGCCTTCCCCTGCCCCAAGCTTTGTTCTACCACGGTTCCCCTCCCTGTGGGACTCTTCTTTGTCTATATAACTGACTCCTCATTCTTAAACGCAGATGTCTCTTTCTTAAGCTGTCTCTTACTCTTTACTGTATCAAGCCCCTCCACCCCCATGGCTTCCCTTGTATACAAATGACTCTCAAGTCTATATCTTCTATCTCAGATTCTCTTCGGAACTCTGGCCCTGTGTTGCTGGGTTTTTTTTTTCTTCCTCTGCCTGCTGGATGTAGCCATCTGGACATCCCATTGGTACATCCCACTCAGCAGAGCAAGTACCAGGCTCCTCATTAATTGGCTTTATGGATCCTTTCACCACCACTGTGACTTCCTAGAGTAAAACACTCCTTCCTAGCCACTGTGTATCCCCACAGCCTTCCCCAGCCTCCTCCTCTAAAGTTGCCTTCTAGTTAATCTATATTTGTCTTATGTCTATCTATTTACTCATGTGTTCTCTCTTCCATTAGAATGTGAGTTTCCTGAGGGCAGGGTCTGTTTTTGCCTTGCTTTCTATCCCTAACTTAGCAGTGTGACTGGCATACAGTAAGTGGCTAATAAATACTTATAGACTGATGTATTGTCCTTGCCTATTAGAATGGAGGTTCCCTGAAGGCAGGAACTCTCTGTCTTATTTTTGTATTTGTATATCCCAATGCATAACACTAATACATGGAAAATACGGAGCACCTAATGATGCTTTTTCATTCACACATATCTATCTCCCCCTCCTCCACACTGCAAACTTCTCTATTTCTGTTGATGGCTTCAATATCTTCAAAGTCAATAAGGCTTAAAACTGTTCTCCCTTTTCCTCCATCCCTCCCCACCCCCCAACTTCCAGTCATTTGCCACATTCTGTCCATTAGACCTTGACAAAATCTCTTGCATCCGACCCCTTGTCTCTGCTTGGCTTCAGCCATCTTTGTTTAAGCCCTCATCCCTTTCCCCCTGTGCTTCGGTAATCGTCTCCTAATTGGGCTCCTTGCTTCCAGGCTGCCCCCTCTGCCTGCCACCCTTCACACCTGAGGCCCCAGCCTAATTATGTCACTCTCCATTGCTTACCCAGTGCAGTCCACATGCCCGAGCCTGCCATTCAAGGTCCTCCACTAGCTGTCTCCAGCTGACTTTTCTATACTTGCATGTAATCTGTGGTTCAGACTAACTGGTCTCTCCTCTGCCTCTTGTCTTTGTCCTGCTCTTCCTGTCTTTGCTGATGCAATTCCCCTGAGCCTGGAATAGAATTCCCCTTCCTACCCCCACCTCCATTCATTGAAATTCTTTACTTATTTCAAGGCCAAACATAGGGGCTGCCACCCCCAGGGAGTCTTTTTCTTTATGTATCTACGTGTTTATTGTATGAAAATGTGAATCTGTTATATAGTGGGGGGGGGGTTTAAAGTAAATTAAATATAACATGGTTGCTCCCACCCTGCCCTGTCCTGTGGGGGGGGCAGGGAGAGGAGGGGCCCCTTTTAAGCTTCCTTGGACTGCTCTGAGCTTGGGGGGGGCAGGGAGAGGAGGGGCCCCTTCTGAGCTTCCTTGGGCTACTCTGAGCGGGGGGGGGGGGGGGGCAGGGAGAGGAGGGGCCCCTTCTGAGCTTCCTTGGGCTTCTCTGAGCTGGGGGGGGGCGGGGGAGGCCAGGGAGGTTCATTGTTTCATTGATGGCTCTCCATCCCATGAAGTCTTCTTCCCTGGACTCGGGGCTGCCAGTGCCCCAGTTCCCTTCTCCAGCTTCCCCAAGCACTTCGCCTGGCTCTCCCCTTTGCTTATTTTCCGTTTTCCTTTCTATGTTCAGTTTCTTCCTTTAGTTCATAGTTATTTGTGTGTCTTCCTCTTCCTATTACATTGTAGTCTCCTTGGAAGTGGAACCTGAACATTTGCTCTCTTTTCCAACATCTTATACAGTATTTCAAAGGAGATACTATATTTCAGTTTCCAGCATTTGTCGAGCACTTGCGTGCTAAGTGCTGGCAATACTGAGACAAAAGGGAAAAGCCTGCCCTCAATGAGCTTGCATTCTCTTAGGTAAGCAACACGTATATTTTTAGGCAAATGCAAAGAAATATAAATGTATTAGGGGTTGGGGCTAGCAGCTTAGGGGAAGCAGGAAAGGTTTCTTATAGGGTTTATACTGAATCTTGAAGTCAATCAGTCAGTCAATAAACATTTCTTTCTTAAGATCTCTCTACTGTGTGATTGAGCCAGTATGAAGATAAGATGGAAAAGCACAACATGCAAACAACAGTGTGCCAATGAGCTATTGACAGGATAAATGGAAACAATCACCAGAGGGAAGGCTCTAGCATTAAGGGGAATGAGGAAAGACTTCCTGGACAAGGTGGGCCTTAGGCTGGGACTCTAGGGAAGCCAGGAGGCAGAGAAGCATCCTAGGCTTGGGGACAGCCAGAAAGAATGCCCAGCGGAGAGATTCCATTGAACAGCAAGGATGCTGGAGTCTCTGGCAAAGCGTGGTGGGGGAGGGGGTGCAGTAAAAAGGTGCAAGATTCTATATAAAGTGTTTCAAAGACTTTGCCACACTATATAAATACGATTTTGTATTCTCCCTTTTGGGGCAGCTAAATGGTGCAGCAGGTGGAGCACAGGGCCTGGAGTCAGGAACACCTGAGTTCAAATTCAGCCTCGGACACTTACGAACTCTGTGACCCTGCGCAAATCCTTTCAGCTCTGTTTGCCTCAGTTCCTCATCTGTAAAATGAGGACACACTGGAGAAGGAAATGGCAAACCACTCCAGTATCTTTGCCAAGAAAACAATCCCATGCATGGCCACTTAGAGTCCAACTTGACTAAACAATGACGAAGCCCTTCTCCTCCTTCTTATTGTATGTCTCTAACCCCTGACCCGGAGCCTGGAACTCAATAGGTGCTGATTAAGTGTTTGTCCAGTTGAACGGGCCTTCGTTTGTTGACAGTTTTTGGAGTTGGTTAATTGCTGACCCAGGGAGCCTCGTATTGGGGAAGAGTGCTGCACACTGCGTAAGGAATGGGGGGCTCAGGTTCAACACCCAGTTCTGGCTGATAATAATAGTAATAGCATTTCTATATAGAGCTTTAAAATTTGCAAAGTGCTGTACAAGTATTATCTCAGTGGATCCTTACAACAACCCTGGGAGGTAGGGGCCATCATTATCCCACCTTTTGATTTCTGGTTGGTTTTTCAACCTGCTCTTCCATCTTTTTTTTTTCTTCCCACTGTGCCCCACCTCTCAACCCCACTCAGGTACATCTTCGCCAAGAATCTCTTTGAAAATCGCTTCCTAAATGATGTCGAGTGGGCTGTCTATCAGAATTGGCATTCCTTCCTTCTCCGGGAGTTCCACAGCCGCATTCTCCTGGATGGCTTTATCTACCTTCAGGCTTCTCCCCAGGTATCACAGAGCTGGGGCTCAGAGAATTCCAGAGACCTGAGGTGGGAGGAGGGTGGAGCTGGGGGAGGGGGTGGCTCAAGCAGGGCCATCTGAACCTTATCAGCTGAAAGAGGGAGGGGGGGACAGTCTAGGATGCTGAATTTGGAGTCAGAGCACCTGAATTCAGATCTAGCTCTGCTGGTCGTGTGCCCCTTAAAAGACCTCAGAAGGAGATCTGGGCAACTCAGTCCCCACCTACAAAATGAGAGGGTTTGACTAGATGACCTGATGACCCTTCTAGCTAACTTTAAGACCGTGAGCCTATGTTAACACAAACACTGGCCCCCCCAGAATCTAATCCTCTGTTTTCTAAAACCAAAGCCCCTCCCCAGCCAGGCCCTCTGGAAGCGGCCTTCAGGAGATGGAGGGGGGAGGGGGGAACCCTTGTCTTCATTTGGGAAATTGAAGCCTGGATTTCCCTTTTTGGCTCGTGGCGCTGTGGGTCGAGTACCCAATTGCCTCAGCTTCCCTTGCAGCCCTAGGGCATGAGTCTGGCCTGCTAGGAGGGAATGGGGGGAGGGAGGAATGCTCTTTCCTGCCTCCATTAAATATTTTCTTCCTTGCCTTTGTGATGCTGCCTTCTCTGCCCAAGGAAAGCAGCCTAGGAATAATTGCCATTCCCAGAATGCCAGTAATGGATTAGCAAGTGAAAGCTAGTCAAATTGTAGAATTCCCATCATAATAGCCCATGTTTAGGCCAAATCACTTAGTAGTAGCATTATCATCCCCATTTTACAGATAAGGAAACTGAGATTTGAGCCACTTGTATAGTAATCGTAAGATCATAAAACTCATGTCTTCTGAACTGACTAGACCTTTGTGTGTGTGTGTGTGTGTGTGTGTGTGTATGTGTGTATGTGTGTGCATATATATATATATATATGCACACACATACATATTCACGGTCCTGGATTTTGCACTAACTGGCTATATGACCAGTGGAAGGTGATTTCAGCTCTCTTGGACTCACTTTCCTTCATAAAATGTGGAAGTGGGGAGCAGTCAGATGCTGCCATGATCCTTCCTCTTCTATAAAATGGAAGGTTAGAAAGTCTTCAAGGCCCCTAGCCTAGTTCCTGGTATGAACTAGCCCTTAATAAATACTGTTGATTTTTTGTTGATTGACTGATTGACCAATTGTCTCTCCCCTTAGAAAGTAAACTTGAGATTAGGAACACTTTCCTTGTAGTCTTTGTACCCCCAGAATCTAGCATAATGTCTGGCACACAATAGGTACTTTGTGAATGCTTGCTGGCACTCCTATGAGCGCCAACTGTCCCTTCAACATTTATGATCTTAAATTAATTCACTTCAAAAAGCTTGTGGAGAGAGAGCTGGCTAAATGATACCCTCAAAGGCCCCTTTCAGCCCTAGATCTGGAACCCCATGAGCCATGAGGCAGATAAGCTCCAAGAAAACTAGGCCTTCTATCTTCTTGGAGCTGAAAGTCCATCGATGAAGAAGGATTATTTTCCCCAGCTCAATATGAGGCATTGCAGGCTCATTGGAGAAATAATAGATAATAATGATGATGATGAAACATGTTCACTTATGCTGATGTTTGGTCCTCCCAACAGCCCTGGGAGGTAGATGCCATTATTATCCTCCTTTTAAAGATGAAGAAATTGAGGTAGACAGAGGTTAAGCAACTTGTCCAGGGTTGATCACAGAGCAAGATTTGACTTCAGTCTTCCTGACCACAAGTCTTGTACTCCATTCACTATGCTACCTAGGAATAGCTAGGGGATGACTGGGGAGATGATTTAATTGAGAGGCAGAAGGACCTCATTTCATTATTGTTGTTATTCTTCAGTCATTTCATTATTTCCAGCTCATTTTACAGATGAGGAAACTGAGGCAAACAGGGTTAAGTGACTTGCCCAGGATCACAAAGCTAGTGAGTGTCTGAGACCAGATTTGAAGTGAAAAAGAAGAGTCTTCCTGACTCCAGGCCTGGCATTCTATCTGCTGTGTCAGATAGCTGCCCCCATTTCATCAATAGTTCTCATTAATACAGAGGAAGAAACTGAGGCCCACAGAAGTTAAGTGATTTGCCCAAAGGAGCACAGGTAATAAGTGTCAGAGCCAGGATTTGGAGCCTAATCCTAATTAGAATCAATCAATGAACATTTGTTAAATGTCTAGTTTATGTGATTTTTAGGGGCAGCTAGGTAACATACCAGATAAAGTGCCAGGCCTGGAGTCAGGAAGACTCATCTTCCTGAGTCCAAATCTGGGCTCATACCTGCTAACTGTGTGACCCTGGACAAGTCACTTTGCTCCATTTGCCTCAGTTTCCTCAAGTGCAAAATGAGCTGGAGAAAGAAATGGCAAACCATTTTAGTAGCTTTGCTAGGAAAATCCCAAATGGGGTCAAGGAGAGTTGGACGTGACTGAAACAACTAAAACACGGATCTGATTTTTGCTAGGCTCTGGAGAAACAAAGACAAAAATTAAATAGCCAGCCAATCACCAAGCATTCGTTTAGTAAGGATTTAGTAAGTGCAGTGGATACTGAGGAGAGCTAAGAGTCCCTGCCTTCAAGGAGCTTACATTCAAATGGGAGAAATAATAGGACCACATTGAAGTGAATGAGGACCAAGATGGCAGCTTCTCTTCTGGCTTCACTGATTTTTGGGGGCCATCTAGTTCAACACCCTCATTTTAAGGTGGATTCACTGCAGCCTAGAGATCTGACCTGTTCAAGGTCTCACGGGTAGCTAACAGCAGAAGCTGAGTTTGAAACCAGGCCTTGTGACTCCAGAACCAAAGAATACAAGTCACTAAGAGAATGATTTCATTTCACCATGAGGAAAAACCTTGTAACAATTCTAGCTGTCCAAAAGTGCACGGGATACTTTCTAAGGTGATGATTGACCACCATTAAAGAGCTTGAACAAGCATTTCTTGGGAGTTTTAGAAGGAGTAGGCTCCTTTTCCAAGTAGAGGTTAGATAGGACCTCCAAGGTGCCTTCCAACCCTTCAATTCTCTGATCAGTTTGAAAGGTGTATAATTCAGTCCTGGCCAAAGTTCACAGAAACAGGGGAGGGGAGAGAGCTTTGCCCTAGCCTCGCTGACAGAGCCTGGGATTGTCTTCTAGATTTGTCTGAAGAGACTCCGCCAGCGGGCCAGGGCTGAAGAGGAGGGCCTCGAGCTGGGCTACCTTGAACAGCTCCATGCTCAGCATGAAGATTGGTTCAGCCATAAGGTGACTGAGTAAGTGGAATGCACAGCTGTCCCATGGACCGCTCGCTGAGCAAGGATACTACTTCTGTCATGGCAGTATTGCAGATGGATAGAGATCACTGGCCTTGGAGTCAGCATGGTCTGCATTTGAGGTCCATCCCAGAGATTAAGAGCTGAAGAGACTGTAGAAATAGCTGAGGAAACTGAGAGGTCAAGTGACTTACATAGGGTCACACATCTAATAAATGTCAGAGGTGGTGACTCCAGGGCCAACAGTGCTATCTGCCATGTGTCTTATTAGAAGCATGACCTTGGACAAATCACTTTAATTTCCTCAGTTTCCTCTAAGGTCCCTTCTAGATCTGTTCTTGCTTGTCCTTCATTCTCAAAGAAGACCGTGACATCAGGAAGGTGATGCCATGACTTGCAAGTGAATTGGATTTAAGTGGAGAAAGGCTGGGCAAAGTCACCAGTTTCACTTTCTCTCTGGAGCCATCTGGGTCCAGTGGCAAGATACAGATCAGGACAATTGGAGATGCGCCCCCTCCCCTGACTTCTAGACTTAGATCCATGACAAAGGGCAGGTAAATTCACCTCTCAGTTCCTCCAGTTCCTCAGCTGCAAAGTGGGCTAATAATAACACTTTCCTCACAGGGCTGTTACAAAGCTCAAACGAGATATCATAGAATGTAAAGAGTTTTGCAGCCTTCAAGTGCCTTCAGATGATGCTGGCTCCTAGGATTCCTAGTGGGTTGTAGCCACCCCGAGACCCAGACTTAGAACTATCCCAGCAGTTTCTGGCTGGTTTTTCTGAAATGAGTGTGTGGAGATGCACAACCACCCTTTTGGTGGTCTCTGTACATTCTAGGTGACTTTCTGTTAGCTTTTCTTGCATCACTCAAAGTTCTGATCTTGGAAATAATTTTGCAAATTTGACCTCCCAAGGTTTTGCTCAATTCTTGTCCACCCTGGGAGAGCATCCACTCCTTCCCAATGACTTTGGGTTTTAGCAGCTAGGTGTCAAAGTGGATGGAGCACCAGGCTTGGAGTCAGGAAGACTCATCTTTATGAGTTCAAATCCAGCCTCCGACAAAGGAGAAGGCCATGACAAACCAGTCCAGAGACACTGTCTCTGTCAAGAAAACCCCAAATGGGGTCTTGAAGAGTCAGACACAACTGAAACATGACTGAGCAACAACAACGTCACAGACCCCAAGAGCAATCTCAACGCTTGAAGAAAAAAAAAGCCCGTTTCCTCGTTGTTTCTCGCAGATGAAAACTCTAGGACCAAGGCAGAAGGGACTATGAGGCCGTTTTATTCAACCCATCCATCTGACAGATGAGGAAACTGAAGCTCTGAGACCTGCAATGATATGCTGAAGGTCCCACAGCTACTAAATGGCAGGAGGCAAGATTTGACCTCAGGGCCTCTGACTCCAAGGCCAGATTGCTCATCCATCCCTCTTCTCCCATTCTAGAAACGCTCTAAACTGACTATTTCTCAGCCTCTCCCGTTTGTCTGGGTCCTGCAGGCTCCACTTTGAGACCTTGAAGAAGGCCCCTGTGCTGGTGCTGGACGTCAATGAGGATTTCTCTGAGAATGCAGCGAAACAAGAGGAGCTCGTGACAAAGGTCAACACGACTCTACCTCTGATTACAGTAGATTTACAGTGAACATTTAACATTGTCCTGAGCCCCCTGCTTTGCTGAGGGACAGGGTGGTCTCTAAAAATAAACCCCTGGAGATCCAGGCACTGTGTGACCTTGGATGAGTCATTTATCCTCTCTGGGCCTCCATTTCTTTATCTGTAAAATGGGAGGATTAGACCAGCTGACCTTTAAACTTCCTTCTAGTTCTAAACCTGATGATCCCATGGCTTCCTTGGGCTTTCACCTGAAAAGAGAGAGGCCAAAAGACTTAGGTCACTTAGAGTCACTTAGGAGAGAGTTCTGGGTTTGGAGGCAAGATCTGTATTCAGATCACGCCTTTGCACTTCCTGGCTGTGTGAGCCTCTCTTTTCTGATCTGCCAGTGAGGAGATTGGACTGATTTGCTGGACCCCAAAGCCTCTTCCAGTGCTAAATCTATAACAGTTCTCCAAGTGCAGGACCATGTGGCCCTTGCTGCCTGGGTCAAATAGAGCAGGGAATGGGCTTCCTGTTTCCTCCAATGCTGTCTTCTCAGAAGTGATTGACTAATAGAGCTGTCATAATCCCCATATATTTTGTCCATTGAAGCATCCTGGCTCTCTGGGCCCAGGCAGTGTGGACTCAGGCCCTCTCTGTTCCACCCCTTCCTCTACTTGCCTTGCACTCTGCTTATAAACAAATTGTTTTCTCTTTCTTCTGTCGAACCTCTGTGCTCTGCTAAGATGCCTCCAGCCTGACTAATCCTGCCAGGGCTTTGGGAGCCAGGCTTCTATCCATGTGGGCTGCTTTGGTCCCAAATGCCTTTGTACCTGGTGATTGGGAGGTACCGTGGCTGGGAAATGCACCCACGATCCCGTAGCTGATGATGTGAACTCAGCTCGGCCAGTGCTTCTGTGATGCATCCATGACAGCTCCTACTCAAAGCCTCTTGGCGTCAGCAGGACCTGAGCCTCCACCTCTGAGGACTTGGCTTCCAAGGACGCACTGTCACTTCTGCACCACAATGAAACAATAGGCCCAATCAGTAAGCAGGGGCTAAGAGCCTACTGTGTGCCAAGCATTCTGCTAGATGCTGGGGCTACAAAGACAAAAGACAAAGCTGACCCTGCCCCCAAGGAGCTTACACTCTGTCTCAAGAGGACTTTGGTAGAGGCATGGCTTTTTCCTCTCTACTACAGTGAGAAATTGATTTGTGTCTCTTTTTTTCCAACAGGTGAACACCTTTGTAAAGAATCTAGGATGACGCCGTGGTCCTGCTAGGCAGGATCTGTTGGCCTGGGCAGGGATTCTGACCAGCTAGTGCCTTTCTACAGCTTAGAGAACCATGGATTCCATCTGTCCAGGCCTCTTTGCTCCCCAAGCCTTATTGGGCACTCTTGGGCTTCTTCTTTAGTGACCCTGAGCAGCTGCTCTGAGGATCACTTTCCTCATCTGTCGAATGACAGCATCAGACTTGATGGTCTCCAAGACTCCTTCCAGCCCTACAGCTCTGATCTGAGATCTCATAGTCCCAGGATAAGAGGATCTCAGAGGGTTTTGTTCAGGCTTTCCTTGGTTCTGAAAGACGTTTTCCTTTGTCTTCAATTTCGTTTTATTTTCAGGTCCAAATTCTCTCCCTCTCTACTCCTCTTTCCCCCCCCATTTAGAAGATAAGCAATACGTTACAAACATGTAGAGCTGTGCAAAACAAGGCCAACATGTCCAAAAAGAAAAGGAATACAGACAGAGACAGACAGATACACAGAGGAAATAGGCCTCCTTCAGTCTCTGTCTCGAGGTAGACAGCATGTTTCATTGGGTCCTTTGGAATCTTGACTGGTCATTGTGTTGCTCAGATTTGCTAACTCTTGGAAGGCCTGGCTTTCATAAATCCCATTAGCCGTACGTGTGCTGAGTGGATTCCCCACCGCATGACTGGCTTTCTCTGACCTCCCATGGGTCCCTCCCCACATCAGAGCTCCTGGTGGCATGCTAGGGCAGGGAGCCAGGCCCAAGGGAGCCATGCTAAGCTCTCGAGTGTGGGCATGGGCAGAATAAAGGAAGTGGTTGGGCAGAAAGAACCGAGTTGACAAGGGTGAGACCACAGAGCAGGGAGACCATGCCAGGGCTCAGGGCTTTGCTTCTCCACCCCTGCCCCCCACATGTCCTTATGAAACCAGGCGTCTTGGGATGCTCTCATCCTTTCTTTCCTCCTTAAGTTTTGTGATTGATGACTTTTAGAATACAAATATACAGAAGCAGATCATCCTATGTTGTCCTATGAATACCAGGCAGGAGTTTTGAAATAGAAAGAGCCCTGGATTGGTAGTCATAGGGTGGGGGACAGGGAAGACCTCCAGAGACATGGAGGTTGCTTCTGCCAGTTACTATCCAAGTAGCCTCAGACAGTTCACATCACTTCTCTGGCTTCAGTTTCCTTATCTGTAAAAGAAGGGCATTAATGGGGCAGCTTGGTGGCGCAGTAGATAGAGCACCAGCCCTGGAGTCAGGAGGACCTGAATTCAAATCCGGCCTCATGACACTCACTAGCTGTGTGACTCTGGGCAAGTCACTTAACCCCAATTGCCACCCCCACACACACACACACACAATAAGGGCATTAGACTAGATGACCTCTGATTTCTCTTTCAGTTTTCAACCTATGGCCACCCAAATTCCATTCTGATTTTTATTGTTACATATTGTTATATGTACAAACACATATGTATTTAAATACATGGCTGTAGCAAATATGTCCATCCTGCTCCTATTCCTGTTTTCCCCCTTTCATGTTATTTTATATGAGAAGTATGAATACAGTGTTGGACTTGGACCCTAAGACCTGGGATGAAAGGTGGCCACCAAGACTACCCTTAGGCCCAAAAGTAAGGTCACTTAATCTGTCTGGGCCTGAAACAACTCTCAAGGACCAGAAAGTTTACTGGTTTTGAGATTTTTTTTTTCTCAGTTACATATAAGCAGTTTTTAATATTTGGGTTTATTTTTTAATTTTGGGTTCCAAATTCTCTCCCTCCTCCTTGAGAAGGCAAGCAACTTAATATGTTACACATGTGCAGTCATGTAAGACATTTCCACATTAGCTATGTTACAAAAAAGAAAAAAATAAAGTTTTAAAAAGCATGGTTTGATCTGTGTTCAGACTCCATCAGTTCCTTCTCAGGAGGCAGATAGCATTTTTCATCATGAGTCCTTTGGAATTGTCTTGGATCATTGTGTTGCTGAGAATAGCTAAGTCATTCACAATTCATCACCATACAATATTGCTGTTACTGTGTACAATGTTCTCCTCATTCTTCTCACTTTGCATCAGTTCATATAAGTCTTCCCAGGTGAAAGCCTCCTATTTGTAATTTCTTATAGCACAATAATATTCCATCACAATCATGTACCACAGCTTCTTCAGCCATTCCCCAATTGATGAGTATTCCTTCAACTTCCAATTCTTTGCCACCACAAAAAGAGCTGCTATCAATATTTTGGTACACATAGGAAGGATCGAACATTTTTTAGACAGTAAAGAATATGACTGTACCCAAAAAAGTCACTGACATATTGACAAATTAGTCTTCCATGGGTTTTGTCATATTTTGATGGCTCCTGGATTGCATAATAATCATGGTAATCTTGATAATGTTTGAATCAATCAATAAACATTTATTAAGCACCTACTATACCCTGTGCTAAGTGGTGGAGGTACAAAAAGAAGCAAAGAATAGTACCTGCCTCCCAGAAGCTTGCAATCTAATAGAAAACCATATTTGGAATATCTTGACCTCTCTGTCCATCAATCTGAACTCCCACAAGTGATTTCCATCTTCATATTCCAAGTCTCACAAGGTGGTCAGACTTTACAGCTCGCTCTCGCACCCCACACTGAATTAGCTACACGATCTGGTGGATCTCAACACCTTGTCCTTCCACCTGGACCACATCCTCCCTCCTCCTGACCCTCTCCATTCTCACCTCACCTTCTGATTCCTCAATCCCTCCCAGTCCATTGCCTCTGCTCTCACCTTACTTAAACTACATGATCTCCAAAGTCCTTTCCAGATCAAAATCTGGGAAAATAGCCCAGATTTTCTTCTTTTCACAGCCTTGAGCTTAGACAGTACTTATCCTCCAGCCTTGACTCTCTGGCCACCATGTTCTTCTCTTCATGTCTTAGCAACCCTTGGCTCTGGGTCACCCTTACTATATACCTTCTCTATCCTTGTTCCCAAGTTCCAGAAAATTCCTGGCAAAAGTCAAGAAACAAGGCAGACTGGGACTACTCCAAATTCATGTCATCTGACCTCAACTGGATCCTCATTACATGATGTCCTTTTTCTTTATATTTGCCTATCACATAGCACTGCTCTTTATGCCTACAAACTCACCCCCATCCATACTCCTATTTTGCTGAGAAAACTGTGACCATCCATCAATACTCTACCTCCACACTTCCAAACCTCTTTCCATCTCCACCTAGTCAATCCCAGTGTGCTTCATAAATGTTAGCTGACTATCACTTCCAAAGCTAACAATTTCCCTCATGGCTTTGATCCCATCTCTTCCTGCCTCTTCTGGGAGCTTGTTTCATCATTCACTCAGTCCTAAGGAAATTGATGAAAAAGAAGTTACTGAGCTTTTACCATATGCCAGGAAGACAACACAGAAAAGGAAGCTAGAAAGTGGAGAGGAGGTCCTGGTTCTGGGCAAGCTAATGTGAAGGCTCACCTCTCCGAGCTGTGTCCCTAGGGCAGAGTACACATTCTAATGGGAGAGTTCTTCCTATCTACTGCCCAGGTCTACTTCTTTGGAAGATGATCTGACAAAAACATCCCCAGCAAGCTCTCCTAGATCTCTCCTCTCTTTCACTGTTAACTGCCTATAGAAAGTGGCCTTTAGTGGCTGTCTCCTTGTCCTTACCACCTTAGTCCCTTGTAATCTGGCATCTCTGATTCCACCACTTGACTGAAACCACCCTCTTGACATGTTCATCACTTCATCTTAAGGCCCATTCTCAGCTGCTGCTTTTTCTTTAATTGTTGACCTCCCCGCTCCTCCTAAGGGCCCTCTCTTTGGCCTTCTCTCATCCTGCTTTTTCCTGGGTGTCAGTGATTTTGTCCTAGGCCCTATTTTCTCACTAACATTTGCTCCCCTTATTCCAGGTTCTTGATTAATATCTCTGTCTAGATGATCCCTGACCTATCTAGCCAGCCCTTGTCTTCCTCCTAAGCTTCAGTCCCACATCTCTACCTATTAGACATCTCCACCTATATGTCCTATCAGTCGCTCGTGGCAAACATGGCTAAGGCTAAGACTAAACTCATTATCTCCCCTATTGAATCACTCAGCACCTTCCTCTAAAGATCTGTGGAGGACACCCATATTCTCTAAGGAATCCAAGTTCAAAATCTTGTCATGGAGGGGCAGCTAGGTGGCGCAGTGGATAGAGCACCGGCCCTGGATTCAGGAGGACCTGAGTTCAAATCCGGCCTCAGACACATAACACTTACTAGCTGTGTGACCCTGGGCAAGTCACTTAACCCCATTGCCTAGCCAAAAAAAAAACACAACTAAAATCTTGTCATGTATTAAACAAGATTTGTCAAGGGTTTACTATGTGCCAAGCACTGTGTTAAACATTAGGGATACAAGGAAAAAACAAAAATAATCTCCACCCTCAAAACATTTTCTGGGGAGAGAGCATCTGTACATAAACAGGAAAATGCAGTATACTTACAAAGTAGACCCCTGATAACCCTGGTGGAGAAGGCCAGAAAGACCAGAAAAGGTTTCCTGCAAAGGGAAGCATTTGATCAGAATGTTGAAGGAAGCCTGGGAAAGGAAATGAAGGGGGCAGAGATGAGGCAGCTTTTCAGCCCTGATTTGGACTCTCTGGACTTCACCAGCATGGTCTAGCTATCTTCTCACCCTGGGATTTCCCTCAGCACCCATAGCCTTCTCATCCAAGAACACGTTTCTGCCTCAAGAGCCCCCTTCTCCCCCAGTGAATTCCTCCCAGAAACTCCATTTTGAGAAAGGCAATCGTACCTGTCCCTTCTCAATTCACTCTCCCTCTCTCCACAGGGACTCTTCCAAACCTTTCCATCCCCCTCCCCCCAAAACCTCCTTTGTCTCCTCCCCCTAATCTGCCAGCTGAGAACCTGGCCTCAAATTTTACAGAAAAATGGAGGCCATTCACCATGAGCTTCCTCTCCTCTCCTTTCCCTGGAAGCCTTCTCCAACACCTTGTTATTCCAGGGCCCTCTCTCTTTTTTATTTCTTTCCTATCTTGTTTGTGTGTATTCCTGTGCTTTTCTCCACCATTAGACTGTGAGCTGCTCGAGGGAGGGGGGATTGTTTCCTGCCTCTTTTTGTGTCCCCAGCACATGGAAAGTACTTAAATGTTTGCTGACTGACTGACTGACAGGAAGGATCGCCAGAGCAGCCAGCCAGCCTCCCTCCCCTTCTTGGCCCAGCTTCTGCCTCTCTGAATTTCACCACCATTCCAGAGGGAGGTATTCCCCCCCCCCCTGCTCCTTCTCAGCTCCCTTTTCTGCATTATCTTCTCCCATTATAATGTAAGCTCCCTGAGGGCAGGGACTGCTTTTCTTCAGGCTTTTCTTTGCATTCCCAGCACTTACCACAAGGTCTAGCACAGAGTTAGAGCTTAATAAATGCTTGTTGACTGACTGACTAAGAACATTCACAGCATGGGAGAAAGCCAGGAACAGCAAGCAGGCCTATATGACTAGACCAAGGGTGGGGAACCTGTGACCTTGAGGCCACATGTGGCCCTCTAGGTCCTCAAGTGTGGCCCTTTCACTGACTCCAAACCTCACAGTGGATTCAGTCAAAGAGCCACACTTGAGGACCTAGTGGGCCACATGTGGCCTCAGGGCTACATGTTCCCTACCCCGATGGACTCTAGAATTCAGCAAGGGGGGCAAAGTTTAGGAGGACTAAAAGGGTAAGTGGAGCTCAGGCTGTGAAGAATTTAAGCAGAGGTCTATAGATGATATTGTAGAGATGATAAGGAGCCCCTGGAGGTTATTAAGAGGGATGAAAACAATGTGCTCAGATCTACTCTTTTGGAAAATCCCTTTGATGTCAAATGGAGGACAGACTGGAGTGGGAGAACAGCTGGACCCTTGGGAGGGTATTACTACAGGCTGAGGAAGGGTGAGGATTACTACAGGCTGAGGAAGGGTGAGGACCGGAGTGGCGCCCAGTCAGTGCAGAGAAAGGGATGGACATGTTGCTTGTAGAGAAGGAGTCATCCTTGACTTCCCTCCCTCTCATCCCTCATCTCCAGTTAATTGTTGAGCCCAAGGTTCAACCTCCACAGCTTCCCGTGGAGTCCTCTCTACTCCCAGGGACCCGGTCCTGGTATTGGTCTCCATTGCCCCAAGGCAAGTGTTCTGGGGCTGTTCTAACAGTCTCTTAATAGGTTTTGTTGCTTCCAGTCTCCTCTACATCCAATCTATTCAG